TCATCATCAGGTGGAGAATAATCAAATACATCATTTAATACTTCAATCTCTAATTTTCCTTTCCTTCCACCTCCAATCCCATTCCTTTCTTCAACATTAAAACTTTTTGGTAAGTCAAATTGTGTCCATTGTGTATACTTTAAAGTTCCATGAAATGAATCAGCACCATTTGGACATGCCATATTATAAACTAGTTTTTTATTCTCGCAATACCATGTTGGTGGATTGTTTCTTACTAGTTCGGAAGCTGTAAATGAATTATAATCTTTTAAGTGGGAGGATATAACTTCCTTAATTTTTTGTAATATGGACCGTTCGATTAATGCCATGATTCAATAAATTCAATAACCATGATTAAAGATGACACCTTTTTATAATATTCGTTAGGTATACATAATAATAAATACGTGCGTACGTACGTACGTACGTACTGTGCATACAGAAAATCGGACAGCTCAAACCGACAAATATACGTAAAGGCAATAAGTATTACGACTAATAACTCATGATCTTGATCTGATGATTTTACTCCGGATAAGGGCACGAAAATAATGATTAACTCGTATTACCGATACCGCATTCGTTGCAAAATTTTCTGTTATGAAGATCATAAATCAACCAAATTCTCCGGCAGTTGAATTTTTTTAGAACTAATGATTAAATTACGTACATATGGTAACCACTATGTTAGGTATGATGATGTGAATTTAGAAATTTTTTAAAAAAGGATAAATTTAATCAAATTAAATTAGATTACCATAAGGAACTTATTCTTTATAAATATAGAAATCTTTTGTTGCATCTGATTATTACGTAGACAGAATTGTGTTAAAAATTTGCTGTTTAAAACATGGTATTAAATATATTCTTGTAATATAATCTTGAATATTTTTATCGTTATTTTCTTGTGATGAATTTTCGAAAATTGATATCTAATCTCTATTCAATTATTGCTTCCTTTCATTTTTTTGAAAAATGTTCTTATCTGTGTACATAGTTTCCCATCTATTTTTTTTTTGTTTTTTGGTGAAAATTTCAAGGAAATTTGATATCCTCACCTATTGTTACTTTAAAACATGCATAATAATCGGATATAATAATTACCCAATTTATGAAATGGAAAGTAAAAAATGCCAATTGATTAGATTTATTATGTATAATTGTTGACGGTCAGTTCTTCAGTGTCACTTGATCACACCCTTTTTAATCAACTCGCAAGTCATTCCACGTTTTTTACTTTTGTTAATAGATCTATACTGAATAACATTTATCGGGTTTGAGGTATTTTTGGTTGCCTGAACTTCTTCCATCTCACAGAAAAGAAGGTTATTTAATTTCTCTGTAAAATGAAATATCAATTTCTTTCTAAGCAGCATGTTCCTTACTCTCAATCGTTCTAAAAAATAATTGGTTTGACGAAATTTGATTGGATATTTGCAAATCTTTGCGTCTCTCCTAATCAAACGCTTATCTATTCGCACAAAGCCATTCAAAAAAAATTATGTAATGTGGCAAATCTTGATATTTTGGGAAAGATGTTACCTTGCCGTTACGCTAAGGCCGAGGCCGAGACATGTCATGATAAACTTGGTCACACAATGCACAGTAGGTACGTATGTACAGTACGTATGTCTAATCATTGACAATACTATATATAGCGCAATACCATATCGATACATAATCTTGTACATACGTATGTACACGAAAAAAGAACCGCAAACTCATTACGTACGACGTATTCGTGTAACTAGTTTTTATTTTGAAAATTTTTATTGTAAAGTTATATATATAATTTCTTATTGTAAAGTCATATTGATAATTTCTTATTGTAAAGTCATATAGGTACGTACGTCCATATGACTTCACAATAAAAAATGTTAAAGAAACAAATTAGTAAATATCGGGAATCAGATGATGTTGAAATTTGATATGAAATTAAGGGTGTTTTTTAAAGTTGGATTAGGATTTAGGGTTAAATTTTGTGATAAAAGAATTTTAGTAGAGTTTATATTTTCAAATCAAGATCCCAAATTTTCAGCATCATCGATTTTAGCATCATAACGATAGTAAATGACTATTCCACAAGTGCCCGTAATACTACGTATTATTAGTTAAAGTCCAAGCTGGACAATTTTACTTTCTATAGACTGAAAAAGAATTTTAAGAATTATTGATAAGAATTTGACTGGTGTTTTAGGTTTTTGGGGGGTCAAATTTACGTTTCAAAAGTTACATACGTAATATAAGTTGGATACGTAGAGTGGATGCCGATACATAAATCATGATACGTAGACCGTAAATTGTCATATGAAAAAATTAATAAAAATGGACAAAAATGGGGTGCATTTATACAAGCCAAAGTCAACAAGCATGATTAACGCCGAGTTACTGAATCACTACATATGGTTAGTTAAAGTTAAAATTCGGCATTTTAACAGGAAATGATGCATGTTTTGAAAAAAAACAAGTTATTATGCATTAAATATTACTTTTAACTGCATGATTATAACTAAAAATATTAACGTTAAATTTTAATAAAAATTAATATTTAACGTTAAAGATTGAAACTGTGAATAATACATAATAATACTTTTTTACACCAATATGCACAATGATAAAAGGCTAATGATTGGGTTCACAATTTCATTAGGTGTGAACTGTCCGAATATAAACTATGTCGTGTGACGCAGATTATTTACCATAAAAAAAAAGGCTGCCGTTTTTTTATTTATTCAGCTTATTTTATTTTTTTTTTCCAAATTTCATAAATATATACCAATACGTAGAACGAATTCAACAAATTTATATATTTTTTATACATTAAATTCTCATTCAAATTCAAATTTCAGAATTTCTGTCACTATAATTTATTACTGTAATCTAAATAAAATTATATATAATGCTTAAGATATTCGGACTCTTTAAAAAAAATGGTGCAAGTCCATATCCACCAGAACTTGAAAAACGGTACAAAATTTCAAAGAATGTTCTTGGTGTTGGCTCCTTTGCCATTGTAAAAGAATGTACGGATAAAGAAACAGGAGAGAATTATGCATTGAAAATTATCGCAAAGAAAGTAATAAAAAGTAAGGCTCGTATGAATTATTCGAAAATTTGAACATAGCATATATTTAATGTTGTATATATATGCTAACGAAATTATTAAATATTTTACAGAAGGAAAAGAGACCATGCTTACTACCGAGCTTAATATTCTCAAACAAATTCAGCATGAGAACCTTGTAAGACTACATGATCTATATGAAACGAAAGATGGGGTTTATATTGTAACCGATCTTGCAAGAGGTGGTGAACTATTTCAACAACTCTTATTGAAAGGATCTTATACGGAAAAAGATGCTGCCAGTCTGGTGCGACAAATATTAAAAGGTGTAGAATATTTACACGAGAATGGTGTAAGATATTATTTTCTATATTTACGAAAAAGGTTACAAATTATCAAATCAATTAAGTCAATTGAACGCTCCATATAATACATATATTAAGCGATCTTTGTTTTATTTAGATAGTACATAGAGATTTAAAGCCAGAAAATCTTCTTTTCAAGGATAAACTAGAGGATTCAATACTGATGATTACAGATTTTGGACTTTCCAAAATTTTAACGAAAACTGATGATGTATTGATGACGGCTTGTGGTACTCCAGGGTATGTCAATTTTACGATCAATTTTAGTATCATAAACCACACAAAAATTATAAATAATAAGGAAGATCCAATTTTTTTTAAAGATAAATTGTCTCTTTTTTAACGTTATATAGTTATGTGGCTCCAGAAGTACTTTTGCAAAAAGGTTATAATAAGCCAGTAGATCTTTGGAGTATTGGTGTAATCACTTATACTATGTTATGTGGATATCCACCATTTTATGGGGAAAATCAAGCCGAGTTACTTCAATCCATCATGGCTGGAAAATATGATTATGAAGAAGAAGATTGGTGTGATATATCTGATGATGGTACGCGTTTTATATTCTTTAACCTGACATTAAATTTATCATGTATCTTATAATTTCATACCTTATATCTTTATTAATGCAATAGCAAAAGATTTGATTGATAAATTATTATGTTATGACCCACTAAAAAGAATCACTGTAAAAGAAGCCCTTCAACATAATTGGTTCATGTCAGCGGCAGATGTAAATCTTCTCGATACTGTACGAAAAAATCTTTCACCAAAAGATGCTTTTAAAAGAGCTGTTCGTCTTGTTCAAGGTGTGAATCGTTTACAAAGATTATCAAAAATTAAGCATCAAGATGGTAATGATACCATCATGCAAGAGCAGGTTGTTACCATCATGCAAGAGCAAGTGGTTACCGAAAGTGGGTAAACAAAAACATTCTATACCTAACATATTTTTAAAGTTAACTATTAATTTCATGTTTTATTACGATGTATCCTGCATTTTATTTTAATAAAAAAAAAAAAAGAAAACGAAAAGAACTGAGTAATTTCAATTCGAATCGTCAAATACGGTTTATTATTTAGCATTATGAAATTTTATTTTTTCAAACTGGTTTCTTTTTATGTGAAATAGTGAGTTAAAGTAGAACTACAATAAAATTTCGTAGGAAGCACCTTCATTCTAGATCACTCTATAATCTATAAGCGCACGTCTTCCCCCAAATGCATACACTAATTCAGGACTCTAAGACATGTGCACACCTTGTGCCCATTGAATTTTATGCTATTTTTAATTGACCATTTTTATTATAGTAATACATTTTTTCCTTTTTTTTTTTTTTTTACTTATTTATCATTATTGCATTACCTAATATTGCACAGTCAGCCCTCGTTAATAACAACTTCGGTAATATCAACCTCTCGTTAATATTAGAAAAAAATAGGTTTAGGCTATATATAAATTATCTCATTATTATCAACCCTCGTATATATCAACACAATTGTCTAATCCAAATGGGTTGATATTAACGAGGGTTGACTGTATGTACGTAGTACGTATCATTATTTATTTTCATGTACAGTAGCCATCAAAAGTAACGCCCGATTTATAAGGTAAAAATAAAATTTTTATTTATTTTATTTTTTCATTA